TGTATTACATACGGGGAGGCTTCTCGGTAGCCGCTGCACCATAGAAATATATCATGAAGTACGCTCAAGCCTGCCAAGTGTGTGAGGATAAGTTGAAAAGTTGTTAGCTGGGACTGCAGTGTCTGTCTTCGCACATGTCACAGAGTCGCAGCGGGGCTACGGCTGGGGCCAGCTCATTGAGGTATGTCGTAGGAAACAAATGTAGTGTACAGGGTCAAATCGACCACGAAGAGTGATACAATACCAATAACAAGAGCATATAACTTACACAACTCGCCCACCTCACCCGTCCTCCTCCGTGTCCACGTCCATCTCCTCCCCATAGTCCGTCGACCGATCCCGCTCCATCCCACCGTTCATCATCACCGTCCCGACGTCAACCCGGCCATTCCGGTACCCCGCGCGCTCGCGCTCCGCCAGCGCCCTGTCGATCGCGGACTCCCAGCGCGCAGGCGGGCCCTGGAAGAACCGCCGCCGGGCGCCGGGGGCGGGCGTGTCCGCGGGCGCGTGCCCGCAGCCGAGGTCGTAGTAGCCGTGGCCGCCCTCCTCGAGCCGAGGGACGTCGAAGCACTCGCCGGTGAGGAGGCTCATGCGCTTCTTGCCGCGGCGCGGGGCGCGGGAGGCCGCGCGCGCGAGGGAGGCGTCCGAGTCGTATTCGGGCTCGGGCTCGGGGTCGGACTCGGACTCGGACTGCGCGGCGTTTTCTTGGAGGTTGTATACGAATTTCGCGTGTTCTGCGGCCGGGGGTGAGGATGGTGCGACGTTTGTGGGGTATGATGGGGAGAGGGAGCGGGGACGTACGGGCGAGAGTCTCGTCGAGCTCGTCGAGGGGGCCCTGTTCGTAGGCGTCCCCGATGCCTAGGTGCTCGCCCACGCTTTCTCGGGGTACGTCTTGTAGCCCGACTGATGGCGCCGGTCGTAGCTCTGACAGATACCGCAGAGCAGTCTCACTATAGAGCGCAGCGTAAAGAAGGGTGCGCGCGAGCAAGAGTAGATGTACACTCACCGTATTCGGTCAAGACAGCCGTCCCTCAGATTCATGTCTTCCATATTACTTTCTGGGACTTCTAGTCGATAGCGCGGGCCGAACCACTCGAAGTACTCGTTCCAAGGCAGGTTGAGGTCGATGTCATCCTCAATACCCAGGGCACATGCGGTCTCGTACGTCCATGTCCGAGCCACATTCTTCACAGTGTACCCGCCTCCTCCTAGTAGCAGCAAGGGGATGTTCTTCTTGCGGATATACTGGACGCAGCTGGCATGTCCTTGCATGGTGAGGTTCAAGCAGCCTAGCTTGTCGCCAGACAGCGAGTCCGCACCGCACTGTAGGACGATAGCCGACGGCTGGAAGACTTCGAGGATCTTGTCGATGACCTAGGGGCGGCGGCAAACGTGAGTTCAGCCCTATAGGGTGCGCACCTCAGTCCTCGTATTATGAGGGGATGCGCGAGCGGTATGCCCACATACCGGCTGGAAGACGCTCCTGTACGCCTCGTCCGTGATGCCGTCCTTGAGCGGGACGTTCAACGCGTACCCGCGTCCCTTGCCCCGGCCCCTATCCTCCAGCGTGCCCGTCCCGGGGAAGTACTCGCCGAACTTGTGGAAGGAGCAGGTCATGACGCGGTTGGTGGTGTAAAACGCCTCTTCGACGCCGTCGCCGTGATGGCAGTCAATGTCGATATATAGGACGCGCGGGACGGTGCGGAGCATCTCGAGGATGGCGAGCACTATGTCGTTGATGTAGCAGAAGCCGGACGCTTCGCGTTTCTTCGCGTGGTGCAGTCCGCCTGCCCAGTTTATGGCAATGTCGGTTTGACCGCTCATGAGACGCTGCGCCGCGGCTGGTGGAGGGGTTGGACGGAGGTTGATGGGCTGGGGAGTTTGGGCACGCACCTACTGAACCGCCGGCGGATATGGTACAGAATTCGAACACACCGTCGAACGCGGGATTGTCCTCTCCAACCAAGAAACGCGTTCCCTGGTAGGTCAATTGTTGCGCGTTCTCCGGGGTGACCTTCGACAAGAAGTTCACGTATTCGTCGGTATGAAACCTGGTCATTGTCTCCGCGGAGGCGCGTTTTGCTCGCTGGATAGTCATATGAGTGCGCGGGGTAGTACAATCCAACACACTACTCACCAGTACGTGCATCTTAGGAAGCATATCGTATGCCGTAAGGAGTTCGTGCGTAATCCGCATGCGTTGCGGTTTCATGGGATGCGAGAGGCCATAGGTGAACGCGCCAACGTCCGCTGTGTATCACCCTAAGCGTGAGCCAGGTATGATGCGCAAGACTACGTACGGTCGTAGTAGTATGTTACGCGTCGCTTGGACATGGCTGGACGATGAGAGGGACGAACGGGGGCCTGGCGTCGGCGGCGCCTTCGACGGAGAGCTGAAGACAAGACTGGAAAGGGCGCCAGGCAGGCTTGCACCGGTCCGGCTTGCCCGGACACGCCCAACGTCATACGCTTTCGCGGGAAGGCCTGCCGATTGCGACCCTGCGTCTTCCTCCCACCGCGCTCTACCTGGAGTTGACTCTCGCTTTACGGGTTTCTCGCGTAACACATTGGTGCCAGTACTTTGCTACCACGCAAAATGGGCTCTGCATCTTCGAAAGCCACACGTAAGCTCCCCAAAGCACCTCCCGCCTGGGCAGGTGCGAGAACGCCCAGTGCCGGAGAAAACGTTCCACCAAGACCTGCCATGCCTGGAGCGAGTGAGACGAAGACAGAGGGTGCGGGGAGACTATAAAGAGCGAGGGACTGGGCTGATTGTTGACCGTGCGTACAGCGATAGAACAAGACTCCAAAGACCCTCACCTGTTGGCCAATCTCAGTAAACTCGGGCAAGTGCGAGTGGACCACCATATGCAAGCCGTCAAGCCAGTATGTGCTATGCACGAGAAATGGCTCACGTACTGAGACGAGGAATCCTATAGGCCGCCGATCAAGCTCAACGCCTCTTCCAAACTCGCCTGCGCTCCGAAGACGAGGCGCGCTCGGCGCGTCCCCCAAGGAACCACTTGGTAGCCGCCTCTCTTATGGATCTCCTTGAGGAGAGGAAATACGTGGCAACGCCGCAAAAGCTGGAAGAACTCGCCAAGCAGTATGGCATGGACTTGGACAAGCTGGAGCGTTTGGCTCGTTATGTCAACAGCGTCAGTGTCCATCCAGGCTCCGTGAAGCGCACGGTCAACGACGATGGAACTGAAGAGACGACGATGCTGGTGAGTGCGTTGTTCAGTTGAGGTGTATCCGATCACTGATCTCGGCCTATCCGACAGGCTTCTTGGGTAAATCCCGAAATCAAAGAAGAGAGGCCCTTGGTGGGCTCAGGTCATTGATGCACACGCGCTGCATAGCCAGATAGATGTACGACCTCAGCTCCGCTTGTGAGTCTCGACTCCATACAAGTCATACACGCGACTCACAGTCGAACAAATCAGTAGGCGAACGCAGGGTCATTCTGTGGACGGAATGCAGCCTCATGCACTATCCGCCGCGTAGCTCGCGAATGGGGCACATATTCTGCGTAGCGCCCCGGGCTTGATTGGATTCCTGCCGTATGAGCAGGCTTGGTGCCAACACAGAATACCCTATGTACTATCCCTATAATCCAAAGTCCCTAATGTGATCCCTATTCACTACCATGTCCTCAAGCATGTGCGCCCTGGTGACTACCGTCAAGGCTTGTTGGTTGTCGGTAACACTTCGCCGCCGCCGCCGCTCCCAGCGTTGCTCGCGCCGACGTCCATTCGTTTCCGCAACAACCGACTTTTCATCATCCCCAATCCCGTGAGCACGACCTCTCCTGCGACACCCGCCATAACGGCGTGCAAGGGATCCAATACCGGCGCCGTCTCCCGGTCGTTGTCCCCGTCGATGAACCAGAAGATCTTGCAGCCTATAGGCCCCGCGAGGAGCCTCGGGGCGTACTTCATGAAGATGAGAGCGTATCGGTTCGTGGGGGTGATGCGCTTGATGAACTCGTTCGCGGGCGCGGCGCTGCCCTCGAGCACGGCGCGGTCGAACGTGAACACGAACGAGACGAGGAAGACGAAGAACGGCGGGAGGTTCACGACGAACGCGCCGACCCCGGCAAAGAGCATGGTGTTGTCGAGCCCGCACCGAGCGAAGGCGTCGTCGAGTGCGATGGGGACGGTGTACCGGAGGAAGAGGTGTCCGAAGACGATGGTGAACCAGTGCGAGAGCGCGATGAACCAGGAGGCGAGGGCTACTACGAAGATGATCATGAGGCTCAGCAGGCAGAGGCGGGCTGCACGGTGGAGGTTGTCTATGATGCGAGGGTATGCCTCGTCAACTTTGGCGGCCGCCTGGGCGTAGAGTTGTTCGCCCATTGCGCGGATCCGGCCTAGGAGCGAGCTCGACCTCGATGTAGCGCTCAAGGGCGAGGAGGTGTGGCCACTCTGGGTCGAGTCTACCACTGACAGTTTCGACGACCGCTCTTCTCTATCTCCGGGAGTGTGTTCGCCAACTAGCAAGAGTGGCATGCCCTCTATCCCAGCTTCGACATCTGGGAGCATGGTATCGTCAGTACTCCATGCGAATGTTTCATGCTATGTTTTCTCACCCTTTGCATCCATGGTAGTAACGACTGCGATAGTGACTGAGTATGTGTCAATTGTGGCGCATAGACAGGGTGGTAGTGGAACGTCGTCCTACTAGCGGAAGGGGTAGAACTACCGTGACTAGCCCCAGCTTAAGGGTGCGAGCTGCCTAGTCCGTATTCAGCCACCGGGGGCTTGTACTACCGCGCTGAAAGGGTACAGAGACCTCTTCGAGATATTCCTGGGTTATATGCGCTGAACGTTCTGGTACATGTGCCGACTCCGAGGATGGTGGGCGGCTCACGGCTTGAATGTGGGAGTGAAGTGGCTCTGGAGAGGCCCGAGAGGGAACAAGTTAGTGGAATACAGACACCGCCACCGGTGGTACTGATGGTCTTGATTTATATAATGAGGCAGGAGGGAGCCAGTAAGCCTTCGATAGCTCAGTTGGAAGAGCGCGAGACTGTAATGGTTACATCCGCACATATCTTGAGGTCGCTGGTTCGATCCCGGCTCGAAGGACTTTTTGCCTTCCAGTTTTGTCGAGGTCATTGTAGGAGCTTCGGGCGGAGGTTGACGAGGATTTGCGAGGATGGGCTGCGGGCTAAGGGATGTTGCGAAATGTCGGAGCGCCCATTGGCCGTTCCGCCAAGCGCCCATTGCGAAAGTGCAGCCGCTCTTCGCCGACTTCTGTCATACTCAACTCAACTCGCACTACTCCCTGCTGTTTGCTTGACAAACGACTGCCTCACCTCCAGTCAAGCCTGCGCCTGTGTCTTGGACACGGACTGCTCTTTTCCTACATGATGCTTCGCGGAGCTGCACGTACATCGGCCTCCACTCGTGCCGCTGGCAGGAGGTTCTTCTCCCAAACCAGTCGCGCCACATCGCGTCCGGCTGTCGCCGCTGCTCTCACCTCCGCTTCAATTGCAGCAGCAGGTGCTCTGTGGTACGCAACGTCTGCAAGGAACGTAGTACACAATGACGCACCGGCCCCTGAAGTCGGGACGAAAGTCGCTCTGGAAGGCACGTCGAAGAGCGGCGAAGACGCAGAGCTAACTACCTTGGTATGGGGAGCCAACAAGTGAGTTCCCTCCGGTTATCGGTGTACGTGTATACTGACGATTGCTAGAACGCATGTTCTGGAGGACGACCTTCCCGAATCCGTGAAGGTGCCTACACCGACGGGATGGTTCGACAACGTCGCGCTACGCGATCTGGCTCTGCATGAGCAGCACGCGGCGTGCGTCGACGCGCGAGGAGACGTGTATCAGTGGGGAGACGGGTTCTTTGGGAACGAACCGGGGTCGTCGCATGGTAGACCACGTCTGACGCTCCGCGGAAAAGTGAGTACTGCCGTACACGACCCTCATCCAGAATGATTCCTCATCACTCGCGTCTTGAACCGTGCCAGAACATCACGCAACTGCAGCTGACGCGTACGCGCGTGTTTGCACTGTCCGCGTCTGGGCGCATATACGTCCTCTCGTCCCGTCAGGCTGACCAGGCCTTGCCCAACGGTGCTCAAACACCTGCGAGCACGCCCTGGTGGGGAACCGGATGGCTGTGGGGCGAGGAGGAAGAAGTGGACTTTGCTGAGATCACACCGAAGGAGACACTCAAGCGCGGCGAAAAGTATTCTCATCTCTACCCTCCCCATAGGTCCAACACGCTCATACCCGTGCTCGCAGGTTCGTGCAGATCTCCGCGGGGACGGACCACATGCTGGCCCTTACGTCCGAAGGCCGTACGTTCGCGCACCCCATCACGCTCAACGCGAACTCGCACGGGCAGCTCGGCTTCCGCAAGTGCGACGTGCCCTCCCCCGCCGACCTGATTCACTTCCACCTCCCGCACAAGCACCCCCGCGTCCCACTCGAGCTCACGCCGAGGTCTATCGCGGATCCGTACGCGAAGGCGAGCCCTGCCATCCGTCCTGCGGGCTCGGCCCCGAGGAATAGCGAGGCGCTCATTGGCAAGGACGCGGCGGCTGCTGGACTCGACGACACCAATATCCGCTTCTCTGATAAGCTGTTTGAGGTGCCCGCGCTGAGAGGCGTCAAGGTCGAGCGTGTTGCTACAGGCGGGCGGAGCAGCTTCGTGAAGACCGCCGGCGGCAAGGTCCTCGGCTGGGGCGCGAACGAGTTCGGGTATGTCCCATATCTACGCGACATGCGCCCTTGAACGTGTCTGTAACTGACGCAACGCGTCGTGCTAGGCAAATCGGACTCGGGGCGAACGTGACGCTCGAGACGATCACCGTCCCGACGGAGGTCATCCTCTGGCGAACAACGCCGGGGACGATGCAGACAAAGTGCATCGACGTGTTTGCTGGTGAGTGGTGTATCGGTGTGCCTGTATCCCTCGACGGCCTCACTGACGTGACCACAGGCGGGGACCTGACGATGTTCGAGGTCGAGCGCGCGGACGGCTCGGGCATGCCGTACATCGACGTGCTCTCCTGTGGGAACGGGCAGTGGGGCGGGCTCGGCAACGCGCTGTACAGCAACGCTCAGAGCACGCCCGTCCGCGCCAAGAACGTCAGCGGGCTGCTGGAATGTGAGTGACGCAATCGAATTCGGCGTGGGCGTGGCTGATGCGTGCTGTTCTTTCCTTTCTCTTCGAATTCGCGCAATGCAGACAGCGAGGCAGCGCAGAACCTGCAGGCGATCGTCCCTGAGACGATCTCGATCTCTCCCACCGGTCATGTTCTCCTTACGCTCGACACCCGCAAGCACGCCGGCCCCGGCGGCGGGGGCAAGGACGTGGTCGTGTGGGGCGCAAACTTCGACTACCAGCTTGGGAACGGGAAGCGGGGGAGCGTGCCGACGCCGACGGTGCTGCTCACGCCGAGCGGGGAGCGGTTCATGCTGCATCGGAAGCGTGCGAAGGAGGTGCGGGACTTGCAGGGGCAGGTGTGGAAGAAGGGCGTGGAGGTCGAGCAGCGCGCGGTGGCTGGGTGGAACAACTCGGTCGTGTACTGGAGGATCTGCTCATAGACCCGGCGGGAGACGTGGGATGTCGAGACGCAGCGGATAGGCTATTCCCGCGGTCGGAGTTGACGGCGGTGTAATGGAGCTATTGTTATGATCAGCGAATCTGGCACGACCGCTCACGACCGCAGATGGTGGGCAGTGCTCCGGGCAACGATAGAAGGACGCAGGGGGCGATCTGAGTGCGGCCAAACATATTGGCAAGTGGGAAGAGGCTCGCCGGGGCGGGGCCTATCGGACACAGGCGGGTACTAAAGCGGGCGAGGATTGCGCTGCGCGGGCAACGCATGTCCTGGCCTCACCCGCTAGTTAAGTCCTCTCCGCCGCCGCACCCGTCCACGCCCTGCCTTGCGCCTGCCCCGTCCGTGCTCGAGGCAGTCTGGAGCACAAGAGCTCGAGCTGTGTCCGATCGCGCCCCGTTTAGGCGCCCGTCCAACGCGACTTTGGCGGGACGCGAGACGCGTCCTGTGCTCTCTTCGAGCGACCGTGGGCTCTCTCTTGAGCCCGAGCTCGGCTACTCCTGGGCTGTGTCTGCGCTCCCAACCAGAGCCCTCGCCCCACGCTATCCGGGCTCTCGCTCGACGAAACCGCACCTCGCAGCCAGTGGGACACACCGCCAGACGCCGTCCTCGACGCGTTCCCCGCCGCCTGCCGCCTGCCGCTCGCCCCGGCCGGCCTCCAGACTGCATACAGTCGCTCCGCCGTCGTTGCCCGCACAGAACGACCCCACGCACGCGCTGTAACTCGCGTAACTCGTCCGCAAAGGTCGATTCAACTTGTTTCTGCTATCCGGGCTCTACTCACCACGTCCGCGGTCTGCAGATCGTCTCGCCCGTTTCGTCCCTCCCCGCCGAACGGAGTGCCGGAATTGCCTTACACCTGGCAGGCAGAGGCGGGCGACCACTGCGCGTGCTCGAGATGTGACGCCGCGCTGCGGGGTGGCCGCGTCCTTGCGCTGTAGGCGGCCCAAGTTGGCTGCCACGACAGATCCGCCCAGAGCGCCCACTAGGCGAGTCCTTCCGCCGTCGTTCATGCTTGAACTGGCTCAGAGTGCATTCCTCTGTTATCCAACACGTTTCCAGGCGTGGGCGCGCCGGACTGTCGACGGGAGCGACGCATTTCACGCTCTACGGCGTGAGTTTCGTTCATGGCTCTCTCTGTGCGCAACGGCAGCGCTAATCCTTCCTACTACAGCATCCTCTGAACATTTTATAGCATCCCAAACACATTTCGGCGCGCGCCGACGAGGTCCACAAAACGGCAAATCTGGCCGTTTCATGGGTGCCAATAGACGCCCATCTCACCGCGCACGACACGTTCGCGCACATCGCCGTCTTTGCGTGGTTGTAGCACACGTACGTTATACTTCAGGGATAGCGTGCATACGACCGACTGAACGGCACACTCGCTGTCAGGACGTCGAAGACGCGGGTGCAAACGCACACGAGCATCGTACCGCTCCCGCCCCTGTCGCCCAGAGCGATCTCACAATGACGGCGACGAAACTAGACGCAGGATCACGGAAGACATCGGGACGACCCCCCGGCTGAGATTACCAGGCAAGTTGCCCCTGCAGCCCGCCGCCCGCCGCCATGTCAGCAACGACCCCGAGCCCGCTAGGTGGGTGCCATCCCTACTATACACCTTCCTCCCTACCACGCCGATGCCCTGCGAAGAGCGCGTCAGCACGTCAGAGCTCGAATACGAGCACTCCGCGGTGCGTACCTCCTTTATGCACTCCACTACTTGGGCGCAGGCCCGAGGCGTGTTCGGCATGCTGGGCGCACCGGCACGGCGAGCGGGCATCGAGCGACGGACGCAAGAGAAACGCAGGTATCTGACGGCGAGCACGGGGATACACGGCACGGTAGGTGAGTGAGGAGCGAACGATCCACGGCGGGGTTATTATACGCAAGGAACATCTCCCGAGGACGCACGGACCTCGTTCGCGTATGGCGCGCCCCGGAATCATCGCAGCGTGCGCGTGCCGTCCCAAGACCGCCGCCCCGGTCAGGCATTTCCCGCAGTGCGGTGCCCGGACGCGTCCATCCGACGCTGTCCCCGCGCGAGACGTCCCGCACGGCCGAGACGAGCAGGTGCGCACCGTTTCAGGTCCGAGACAATGTCGCCTACGCGGGCCCGTTCCTCTTACGTATCCGCCCCGCTGTACGGCGGGAGCCTTGCACGTTGGCGGCTCGATGGTGAAGGCTTTGCACAGGCCTCGAACATTGGCGCGCCGGATAGCGGCGGCGGCGGTTGGGTGTCCACGAGAACGCACGAGACGGCCCCGACCATGCGAGGCGCGTACGAACGGGCTCCATCGACGCTGCGACATGCGTACCGCCGCGGGGCACGCTCTCCCGTCTCCCTCGAAGGGCGGGGCGGGGCGCCGTGCACGTACTCAGGCGGCTTCTTTCCGGTGCCCGTGACGATGCCGGGGAGTACCAGTATCGGACGAGAGCAGCGCAGGCAGACAGCACTCGAGCTCGATTCACCCCCGCCCGTGCACACGTCCGCCGACGGGGCCAA